CATAGATGTGTGCACACACTGTCAGAGCTGTGTGAGATCACTACCATCCTGCTTTTGTGGGGGTGGGTAGGGGTGTTAATTTTAATTTTAATTTTTTAACATTCTAAAAGCTCTTTATTCCAAAGATATAAGCTACTCAGTGTATTCAGTAGGTGTAATGTATTTTAAGTTGCTTCAGAAGTATTGCCAGTATTACGTACAACAATAAAACAGTGCATTGACATAAAAAAGGAAATTTACTTTTGGTACTTAAGTACTTTTAAAAGCAAGTACTTCTGTACTTTTGCTTAAGTAAAAATCTGTCTTTACAACTTTTACTTGTAATGGAGTAATATTTGACCAGCGGTATCTGTACTTTCACTCAAGTAATGGAGTTGAGTACTTTGTCCGCCTCTGAAAGTAAATATTAACATCAAATCTATAGGTGTGTTCTCTATTGATTATAAAACACATTCAGCTGTCAATGCAGTTAATGAAATGAACGAATATATTAATGAACGAATATGTTAATGAAATACATGTTTATTGCAATTCTTCAACCGGGAGTTTTGTTTTACATAAATTGTGTCTATCTAAACAAAATAAAAATACTTCCAAAACCAACACCTGCTATCACCCATGAGAAAAAAAAACTTAAAATCTGTTTGTGCCACCTTTAGCAGCAAGAACTGCAAACAAACTTTTCTGATAACTACAGATCAGTCTTTATATATATATGTGTGTGTGTAGTTGACAAATAGGCAGTAAAAATGCTTATTTTGTAAAAGACAATTTTTGAAGAAGAAATACATATATTTATGTAGTGTGAAGTCTGATCTTTGAGAAAATATAAAGGGTCACTAACTTTGTCAATTCTTTCATTCTTTCAAAAATTAAGAAAAAAAACTTGTAATAAAATATAAATAGCATGCGAGAGATTTATCTTCATTGTTAGACGCTTATTTTCATATAGTGTTATTTATTTAATATGCAATTATAATTACCATAATTTTTTCCCCATGACTTGTTGGACAATTTCAGGACAAATTTTGACAACAAGACAAACTTTGCTGTCATCCGCTCAAAACTGCTGAAAATTATAACATTTTAAGATGAGTGATATTTATATCCCCCCTATTACAATACTCAACAGTTTTTTTTATATATTTTGAGATAAAAACAAATCTGTGGTTCTTTTATGTGTGCCACACCATAGGACATTTCGTCACACTAAAGGACAGAAATGGTAGTTATTAAATTATTTCTATTTAATTTTGAACACGCGACTCTGTTCCCCTTTCGGGGTCTGTCTTTACATTTATTTTGAAAGATGAAGCTCGCAATTATGGTAAGGGGTGTTACATTTCCGACGAGTGCTTGCGGTGTTCGGCCAATCACAGTGAACTGGGTCAGCTGGCCAATCAGAGCAGACTGCGGTTGTCAGAAGGAGGGACTTTGTAGAAAACCAAGCATTTGAGAGAGGTGGGGCATAGAGGACCTACAATAATGTACAGTATTAGAAAAATAATGTGTTTTTTTAAAATTTAAAGCATGTCAACATATTCTGTTACACCAAATACACAAAATAATGATATTTAAAAAAGCATCATATGACCCCTTTAAGAGTGTAAGCAATTGTGATACATGTGTAAACAATTAGGAAAACTGCATTTCTTGTGTTGAGTGTATGATTAACCGAATAGTTGTCAGTTTAGAGCCAATCGAAAATACACCGTTCATTTGATAGAATGACAAATTACAGAATTTAGTTTGTTGCGTTTGGACAAATGGAACATAAAAGTTTGTGATTTTGTGTAAAATGTTTTTTCAGATATTTTAAAGTATTGGTTGGTTGTATTAACTATTGTGAAAACATTTAAGTTTTGTGCACATTGTTTTGAGGAAATTATTTGCATGATTTGTAATTTGTATGAAATGAATGAAAACATTCAATCTGTTTAGGAAAATTACAAAGTATTCAGATCAATGTGTTAACTGTCTTGAGGACAGTGACCTGAGTTTAAGCCTCAAAATAGAACACAAAACTGACCACAGAAGTATCATAAAAGTAGTTCATATGACACGTTTACAACATTTTATGGAGATAAAATACAGGCCATATGTGATGAACAGATGAGATTTAAGTTGATTTTTCCTAAAATCTTGACCTATTTCTTTTTGGCATGTTCCATCCATGACATCCTATTCATGAATGAATGATTCATTCGAGTCAGATCTTTGAAATGAATCACGTTGATCCAACCCCCCCAAATAAATAAAGTATATGACTGATCCGTTTCTCAAATTA